TCCCATATTTGGGAAGTTTTCTGCTATTACTTCTGTCCATATTCTTTTTATATCATTTGTATTGACTCCTTCTTTCTCATTATCATCTTGCAGGTGTTGAATTATTTTTTCCTGCATCCTAGTTGTTTTTAAGAGATCTTTCCTTACTTTTTCACTAGCTGCAATGGCATTTTTAAGGTCTGAAAGTCTATTTTCACTTTCATTCAAACGTTTTTGCCAGCTTGTGATTGAGGTTTTAATTTCCTGTATATCACTTTGAATCTGCTTCATGCATTCTATTTCTTTCCTATTTTGCTTATTGAAGGATTCCATCATTTTTCTATTTTTCTGTATTTCTTTTATCAGTGTCTTCTTTAGGAGCACTTAGTACTTCTTTCACTATAGTTATCATTTTTTTTTAATTTCAGAAATTATTTCTGATCTGATTTCCTCTATTCCTTTTTGCAGTTGTTTCTTTACTTCTGATGCTAATATTTCAGAGATTTCAGGTGTGTGATTTCCAATTTCTTCTATGCTAGTGTCTTTTGCATTTGTTTTGGGTGGGCTTGGGGCCTGAGAATGCATTTTGCTCCTTTTCTTTGTGGTTTTGTGTATCATTTTCTGACCTTTGGTGGAGAGCTTAGATAGAGTTATTACCATAGCACCAGATCTGGAACTATCAAGTTCAAACTGGTCCAAGTGGGTGTGGCTTGGGTCTAGTTGCTGTGCTCCACTTTTTCCTGCTGCAGCCCTTGGAGTTGAACCCTCTGTGCCATTCTGGCAAGATGTTCTGCTCCTGAATCAGCTGGGTGTGTCTTGCCTCTAGCCTCTCTGCAGGGTGTTCTGCTACAGGGTTCCAAGCCAAGCCTGGGCTTTGGGTCCAATGAGGATGGGTAGGGGGAGCGAGGTAGTGGGGGCGGGGGATGAGGTGGGATTGCGGTCTCACATGCCGAGCCTGGACTCTGAGTCATATCCAGGTTTCTTTCAATGGGATGTTTTCCCATCTTAGCAATTCATTGGCTTTCACTGCTCCAGTTGACAGTTATTCGAATTATGGTTTCAAAAAATAGGTTTAGGG